CAGCAGAGGCTTGTAGAATTCAAACTTTAATTAGAAACCAACAGTTTCCACCTGCCAATCACAGCACAAACTCCATCGGGGAGGGGGGCAGAGGGGAGGTGGGAAAAAAAAAGCCTCACTCTCAAACACAGGGGAAAATAAAGAAATAAATAAACAAACAACAAAAAAGAACACATACCAACCCTCAGAATAACTTCCTGCCAAAAGGACAAACTCCCTGAACCCAAGATATATCACAGTGTGATAATTCCCGGAGTCCATACCAGAAATGTCCCAGGAAACAGGTGGCAGCAGAGAGCAAGCTGAACAGAGAAGTGGCTAGTTATTTATTTTCCTTTGTGTTCCACGGTGCAGCCACTGGCTTTGACTCTTTCTTTCTGTTCATGCTCTCAGTCTGAGCTTTGCCATGTCTACAGCTCTCTCCCGCCACTCCTCCAGCCAAGCAACACACACACACACACCATGCAGTGACGCCAAGTAGGGCTGGTCTAAACATCTCTGTCCTCTTTGGTCTTGTCTGCTCCACGGAAATCAGGCTGGAATGCTAATCCTACAGTGTCCACATGGTGTTCAAGATGCTGTGTTTGGACAGTTTGGTGGGGACATCCTCTTCTTTATTGCATCTGTTCAACAGGAAACTTCCATGCACCAACAGCCAGCTTCCTCTGCAAACACCCATTTCTCCATTTGGGGCCCTTCATCTGCAGCTGGCATGGGAGAAAATTTGGGCCAGCTAGAGCGTAGAAGACGCTTGCTCAATCTTGGGCCTTGCAGACAGATGAGCTGAGTTAAATGGCTTCACAGGCTCCTGATTTGCTCGAAGTAGCCCTGGACTCAGATCTGCTGACTCCTGAGACTTGGGTTCCATGTAGGTGACTGATCTCACTGTGTGCTTAGAGAAACTCAACACCAGTTCAGTTTTCCATGGAGCATGTGTGCTGAGCCTGCATTAAGCTGGCAGCTGGGCAGCCACCCAGGGCACTTGCTGAGGGGTCTCTAGGGCAGGCTGCCAGCAGTTGGCAATGTATGGGTTAAGGGTCTCATTTTTGGAAGCTCCTAAGTTGTTCTTTCAGGATGAGGGAACCACAGTGGCACAAGTAGAAATATTTCTTGCTGGTATGTGGCACTCATGGAAGGGGCGCAAGGGGGAGCACAGGACCTCCCCATGTAACCTTCACATGATTTTGCCTCACCCACAGCCAAGGGTCCCTGTGCTGTTGCAGTCTCCTCCCCATTAGTCCATCCCACATTACCTGAGGGGCTCTGTCCTCCTTTTCCTGTGTTAGAGGCAACATGGGGGAGGGGAGCCAGCCAACAGTGGGTGGGAGACTAATGGGGAGGGGACTGGTAATCACAGCAGGGGCCATCAGCTGGTGTGGGAAGCAGCATGTGCAGCAGGAGTCCACCCCCCTCCCCCATTACCAGGAGCAGCTGGGAGGGGAGAAGAGCAAAGTGTTTTTAAGATTACTGTTGGGGTTATTCATGTGCTTAAATAATGTCAGGATCAGACAGACAGTATCTACCCTAGTGGTAGTGATTTATTGGATTATGGGATCACACCACTAGCTGTGTTGTTTTGCATGCTGTCATGATCTCTTTGACCCCTATCACTGTATACCTAAATCTGAGCTCTCCCAATAGGTAGGAAAGTGTTATCCCCATTTTACAGATCCGGCTACAGAGGCACAGAGGGTATACCTACATTGCACCTGAGAGCAAGACTCCCAGCCTGGTTAGAAAGACTTGCGTTACTGGGGCTTGTGCTAGCACATTAAAAATAGCAGTGTAGGCTTTGTGACTTCAGAAGAGATTGGAGCTAGCAACTTAAGCAGAGACCAGGGAGGGGTGGGACCTTCCCCACACTTCCCAGAAGGAAACAGAACAACGCAACAGCAGCTGGGCTCTGCTTCCCACAACGGCAACTGACAAGGGGGGGGGGGGGCAGACTCCTGCTGCTGGCACTGGCCCCACTAGTCCCCCGGGCCACCTAGGTTGGGGGAAGAAGTGGGGCAGGGGTAGAGAAAGGGCAGAGAGGGGATGGAGTAGGAGCAGGGAGAGGTAGGGCCTGGGCAGAGGGGGGTTATACTGGGGAAGGGGTCACATGGCCAGTGGTCCCCCAGGCCTTCCCTGCCCAGGAACCTCTGGGAGGTGGGCAGGCTCCTCTTGTATCTTTCCAGTACGCTGTGCTGGCTATAAATATCTTACTGGTAGGGCATTCCAGACTGCATTGCCCTACTTGCACCACTGGGGAATAGGGCATGCACAGGGAGGCAAGCAGGAGTGCACATACACTCCCCGATAATCCTCAGAGGCACACAGCATCTTGGGCCCCAGGGCCATGGAGGTAGAGAAGACTGAGTTATGGCCAGGGCCAGGTAGGATGGGGCAAAGCGAGCCTGGGGCTGGGAGGGTGGGTGAGAGCAAGTTTCTGTGCCCCCCCAAAGGGGTAAAATGTAAATTCCTGTGCATGTCCCTGAGGGGGAATTGCAGGGAATGGGAGAGTTGCACTCTTGGGGGGTGCTAGGAGGATGACAACATAGCAGCTTGTCCTGTACTTAGAACCATGGCACTGGGTTCACCACGAGGAGAAACCATACAATCTGGAATGGAATCTTGAACTGGAAGTTATCAGAAAACCAAAACCAAAACCCCGATTGTCTGTCTAGAGGGAAACTTTGCCATTCCTATAGAAGGGACCTGCTAGAGCTGGAGAAACAAAGGGGTGCAGAAGATAGCAGGGAGGGAAATACAAACAGAAGGTCATTAGATTTTCCTTTGGAACACAGTTTGCACAGAAGTCCTATACGATGTAATTAAACACAGACAACAGTGGAAAATTAGTTATGCCCTTCAAGGCATGACTGACCTAATTATGTTGAACTTTATTTGCTCAGAAGCCTTTAAAAACTTGGCTCCATTCGAAGGCACTTGCCTGATCATTAGTGGGCTATAGTGTAGCTTTTTGCATTGACTTCCATTCGATCATGAAAAGCCACAGACGAGATCCCCAAACCACCTCAGCTTTTCAGGGCAATTCCCACACTCTTCTCTGAAGCTGTTGAGTGCAACCATAAGTGTGCAATCAAAACTGGATATATGACAACAGCTGTGGCATAGTGAAGAAAGCCTCCTCCCCCTCTATTTTAGCCCAGGTGGGATCTTTGTCCATGCGCACCTCTGTAGGACTTTCCCCTCATACTGGCCCTGTGACACAAGGATGCTTTTTCTGGCCATATACCCTTGCTGTGTTTCTTGGTCTCTGGCTGCACTTTGTTCTGTGCTCATGCTGTCATGATCATAAGGGATGGCTAGCAGCCTGGGGACTAAGGGGTTAACTGTACCTAGCCAGCTTAGCCAATAGAAATGCAGATAGGGATTTCAAACTGAGACAAAGGAATTTTTGGGTTTTTCCCTCTTGTCTCTGGCCAGTCTCTCTCCAGATACTGAGGGAGACAGACATGTCTCTCTCTCCAAGAAAAGACTCTTCACTGTCTGTAAGTAGGGTAAAGTTTAGATAAATCTGTTAGGTTTTATTGTTTTATGGTTTGGGAATGGGAATCTGAGGCCTGTGCCTTTAAAAATGGGGTTTTCTCTCCTTTGTAACTAAGTTTTGGCCCATGGTGGAATTCCCCATGAGTTTATTAATTAGTGACTTTTCCATCCAGTCATGATGCTTGTAACAGGAGTATTGTGGTGGTGATAAACGTTCTTCTCTTTCCTTTTTATTAACCTGGGATTGGTTCATTTTTGTGTCCTGGTTTTACTGTAGGGCTGAGATTTCCCAAGTGACCTTGTCCCTGGTTTTTTATCATTACTTGGGTGGTGGCAGAGGATTTTTATCCCCACAATCTAGATTTGTAAGATTTTGGGGGGAAGTTTTATACCAAAGCCAGGAAAGAGAAGGCTTTGGGGTACTTTTGCAGGCCCCCACTTCTGCATTTATCGTGCCAGAGTGGGGATTTGGCCGTGACACATTCCAGCCTAGAAGAGCAGCAGTACACTAGTTAAGTCTCCCACCACTCTTTTCATACATACTTAAGAGCTTTCTACCTTGAGCTCATAACAGGGCATGGAAGAGAGGTGCTGAGGATGCGTGCAGGAGAGTACCCTAAGCTCCTGCACCTCACTCTGAGTTCTGAGACACAATCCACTGTGGCTCTCTCTAGCCTTCTGCCATGCCTGAGTCATGAGATAGCCCAAAGGGCCAGGAAAGGCTGCCCGGCTATCCTGTGGGGGCTACCAGCCCGTCTTTGCTCCCCTCCCCTCTCCTCGGTACAGGGGTGCATGTGCCCTAAGCTATTTGATATGTGCAAACAAGTGCTGCTGGCAAGTGCAAAGCGTTGAGCTCCCCAAAGTGCCTAGCTCTGGGGATGCTAAAGTACAGGCTAGGTCAGGACTCTGAAAAGTTCCTTCGTCCATTTGTTTGCAGTGACATTTTGAAGAATGAGCCTCTGATGCCTTCCGCAGATGATGGCATCCCCAGGTCACTGCTGCAGGCTGGACCATCTTTTCTCCCACCTGTTAAGCCTGGGTATTCGCAATCTATAAATTCTCACTGACAAGAGAAGAGTTCCAAAAAATGGCATTTCAGCCCAAGTCTAAAATAGTCTTCCTATGGCATCTGAGCAGCCTAAAAAGTAAAAAAGTTCCAAGAAAGAGAAATGGTTATGGTTAGGAAAGAGCTACCTCATTGGTGGGGACGTATTTTAGACATTGGCTTTATCATTACTTATGGTTTATGGTGAAAATGTGCATCCACTTTACTATGGGAAACCATCCATCTGTCCATGGCATTTATTGAGAGATAAACAGAAAGGCTATTTGGATGATGGGACCAGCATGGAAAATGCAGAGAACCAGTGCTTTAGAGGCATTCCCAGTCTGGAGTGGTTAGAGAAAACGTAATTTGTCCTAATCCATTCAAGAACAGTAAAGGATGAATATAGATGTTAGCTAAGATTGAGCCTCATATTGCAATTAATGTATTTTTCCAATTTAACCTTAGCTTCTGTCGTTCCTCCTCTTCTTGAGTAACAAAGACCTTCCACTGGAAGTGTGCTATGATGTCACTTCGGTTGTGTATAACCACCGATCTCTGGTTTGCTAAGGTAACATATGTCTTCTCAATCATCAAAGAGTTCTTTTCCAGTCTGACATTGACATCTGCAGCAGCTCCATACAAACTTACGTGGATATCCTCACCTAAGACAAAGCACATGTTAGAAATTCAGAGGTCTTTGCTAAGTGAATTTGTTGCTTAGAGCAATGCTTAAATGTGGATAGATGTGCACTGAAATAAATAAATATGCTTAACATAGCCTCATGGCAGACATGGTCAAGAGCAATGGGGAGCTGGCTCTCAGCCAAGGGAGAGCACATAGTGATGGTACACTGGGACTGCAATGGGAAGAGCCCAGTTCTGGAGATTTTGGGAGACGCCCACTGCTCAAGGGTGCCAATGTTTTAGGGTGGGATTTTCAAAGGTGCTTTAGTGATTTAGGTACAGACATTCCTTTGAAAGTCAATGGAATCTGTGCTCCTGAATCATTTGGGTGCTTTTGAAAAGTCTCACCTTAGATGCCGCTTGCTCAGAGCCATCAGTGTACTTCATGGATCAGAGCAGACCACCATGATACCCCACTTCCTGGTCAACACTGATAGGACCAGGGAGACACAGTGGTTCAGACTGACAGATGGAAGGAGAATCCAAAATAAAGCAAGGCACAGTGAGCCACAGCCTTGTTTGACTCTGTTTGCCAGAGCACTGTAAGAAGGACAAGGACGGGTTGACTTGAACACCCTGAACTGAGGCTTTGTGGAGTGTGGTCATGAAGAGCGGCTGTTCCACGAGAGGACTGCTATTGCTCTGCTGTTGTTGCTTGCCCCATGCATGCGCCTGCATGCTAACCGTGCTCACAGCTATTTCAATAAAACCAGTCCGAAAATGTTTCCCTTCAACCAGTTCTAACCTGTTTCTTCCTACGGGCCCAATGGAGATTGCTGCTGACTGCCCAGAACAATGGCTAAATGAGGGATAATGCCGTGGTATGAGTACCTGGCAGCACTTCTAAAGACAAACTGCCTGTAATACAAACTGACACCAGCATTTTGAAAGCTGCCCATCTAACAGATTCCAGCAAGGTGATTGCAGGGACATTCAGACTTTGGCTGTGAGGCATTAGCACACACTGCTGTTTGCACTCTGGTGATGGGGAGGGGAGCAAACACCCAAAATACTACACTTGCTTGTCATACACGCATGTAAGTCACAGCCCACCTTTACTCACTGCCTAGAAATGACCTTTCTAAATCACTCCGTGTGCAGAGACAAGGTCCAAAGGCTGGCCTGCTAGCACAGCCTGAGTAGCCATCCCCATGTTGAAGCATTCCTTTCAGTCTGGCCACATAGTCCCCCACCATCCCCTGGCAACAGAGCCACAATGCTGTCTCTACTCCAGCCAGAAAGCAGGCCCCTTGTGACCCAGAACACAGTAGATGAGAGAACAGCAAGGTCCAGCCTATAGAGGTGTGCTGTGTAGCAGCATGCAGGGAGGCCTGAGCACACTCACTCCTGGCACAGTGAGTGTGTCTGTCCTGCATGGAGCTCCCCAAACCCTGGTGCAGACGCCGTGCAACACAATTACTCTGGTTCTGGTACAAGGGGGTGCTCCATGGACCAGGGAATAGGGCCATATGAGCATGCATTCTGTTCTAGTCCCTCTGTGGGGTGTGTGGAGGCACATCTGGTCTCTTTTGGTCTTAAGTTTACCTCTCAGCCCTCGCTTTAGCTGGAGCTCCCTTTGTGCCCCTCCCCACTAGTTGCTCCTGAGCTCCCAAGTGGCTTTAACTATCCAACCCAAACTCTACATGCACTTTAGTCCTAACAACACGCAGGCTAATTTTTCTGGCTCTTAATACATTTAAAAAGCAGATGCGCAGTGTTTGCGACCGGGCACAAGCCAGGAATCAGCTGATTCCAGGCTCGCACCTGGTTCTCTCCACAGCTCTGCCTCCCCTGTTCCCTGGAGACGGTGCTGAGGGGAACCAGTTTTTAAGCCGGCTCCCACCAGTACTGGCTCCTGCTCCCCCTCATTTGCTGCAGCTCTCTGATGAGGCAGCACGGGGAGGAAGCAACTCGTTGAGTCAATACTCGACTACCCAATAAGCACATGCATACATCCCCACACCAGACTAGTCGCATACATCCCCACACCAGAGCCCTGACGTATGTTCACAAGCTGGGGGATGGAGCACATGTGCACCAGGCTTTATGTCAGAATTTAGGCACATATCAAATGCTCGGGGGTGGGGAGGCAGATACTCCATTGGTGTAAATCATCAATGTAGCGCCACATCAATGGACCCAGGTCCCATTACAATAGCTGAAGCCCTGTGCCACAATTTTGTGCTTTTGCTTTTCAAAGTTGGCCTGAGTAAAAAGTATTAGGGATTCCTCTGAAAGCTCCAGGGCTTATAGGAGTAGCTCTTGCTGCAAGAAGAGGAGATGCATCTGAAAGCATACTCAATATATAGATCCATTAATAGCTTACTATACAATAGAAAGCCCAGATCCAGTGAGTCAGCATAATGCTGTGGATTTCACTTCTAGGCAAATGAATTGACACAAAGCATGGACTTGTCAGGGTTAGCTGAGGGCACTTGCAGGCTTTATGTCTTGGGCATCAAATTAGATGTGACGTTTCATTTACAACTCTTGGTATCTTAACATATAAGGAAAATAAATCCCTTGACTGTATCAGTGGCTGGGAATTTCAGTTGAGAGGGTAGATTTCTGCCGTTTAGTCGTTTGGGCTCCTTTATAGCTATGAAACCAGCTTTATTAAAACAGGACACGTCAGTCCTGTTCTTATTTACGAGGCACTCACTGTGGCTCCTGACCCCCACAGTGAGTCCCCTGCTGGCTCCCAGCAGCTGTACCGAGTTCCCTGCGACTCCCTGAAGCTGAAGTGAGTTTTCTGTGGCTCCCTGAAGCTGTGGTGAGTTCCCTGCAGCTCCCAGCAGCTATGGTGAGTTCCTCATGGCTGCCCAGCGCCACAGAGAGTTCCCTATGGCTCCTGGCAGCTGCACGGAGTCCCCCACAACTACCGGCCCTGTGGTGAGTGTGGGAGCCACAGGGAGTCTGTGCAGAGGCCGGGAGTCAGTATTCACGAATTTTGCCATTCACAATGGATGCAGGAATATACAGCTTAGCGTATCATGGTACTTTTTCTCCTCAAAGAAGTGATTGAGACATGTAATTATCTTTCCTATGCCACAGGAAAACATTGAGTGTGTAAAATAAATTAGGTGATACAGAATCCCACAGAACTTCTTTAGTAACACAGGAAATGCTGTCCTGGAACTACTAGACATAAAAACTTTCAGAACAACTCTCTTCATACTGGTCTGACAACAGTCAGGCTGTGTCTAGACTGGCAAGTTTTTCCGCAAAAGCAGCTGCTTTTGCAGAAAAACTTGCCAGCTGTCTACCCTGGCCACTTGAATTTGCGCAAGAACAGTGACGAACTAATGTATGATCGTCAGTGTTATTGAGCAAATACAACGACTCTCCCGTCTGGGAAAAAGCCCTCTTGCCCAAATGCTTTTGCCCAAGAGGGCCAGTGTAGACAATTGAGAACCGTTTTGCACAAAAAAGCCCCGATGGCGAAAATGGCGATCGGGGCTTTCTTGAGCAAAACCGCGTCTAGATTGGCACGGACGCTTTTCTGCAAAAAGTGCTTTTGTGCAAAAGCGTCCGTGCCAATCTAGACGCTCTTTTCCGCAAATGCTTTTAATGGAAAAACTTTTCCGTTAAAAGCATTTGAGGAAAATCATGCCAGTCTAGACGTAGCCTCAGAGTCCCCTGTTTATCAGAACACTTATTTGGATAAACGGATGAGAAAATTGTTGGATAAATTTCCAATATTAATTTGGGATTTTTAATAAGCTTGCAATAAGTATTTAATCATCAACTACTTCAGATGTTAGGGGGTGATAAACAGAGTGATTAGACAGATACATTGAATTATTTGCTTCATGTTTTTCTCATCTTTATTGATATGTACTGCTCCTTTTCTCCTTCGCACCTTCTTTTTACTGGGATTTGTAATAAGAATCTCTTAAGAATCCAACAGGACCAGATGTCTGAAGTTTTCAGTGCCTGGGAAATACGTAAATTCAGATTGAACTCTGGCCTGGATTTCAAAGGTTTAATCAGGCTTGGCTGTCACCTTTTTAAGCAACAAATGCCACTGAAGATTTACAGGTATGAGAAAGTCCTCTCAATTTATTACTAGAAATGCAAGCAAAAACTGCTCCGATGGGCATGAATATAGCTCTGTATCTGTCTGGCTTTGGTACTGACATAGCCACAGTTACCATAGTTTGTGCACAACCCCACAAGCATTAATGTATTTTTATCTTCAACATTTGCCGTCCCTACGCCCTTTGCATGTCCCCATGCTCTGGGACCAGGGTGGTGGGGGACGTGCACCCTTTGCCATCCCTGTGTTCCGGGGCCAGGGAGGCTGGGGATGCGTACCCTTTGCCATCCCTGTGCTCTGGGGCCACGTGCCCTTTGCTATCCCCACTGTACTCTGAAATGAGCCATAACCAGGAGCAGGGGGTCATCAGCCATAACACCCACACATTATAAAGAAAACTGAAGCACAAGGTCCCAATAGCCTCCAGATGGTCACTCCTGAATTCCTGCCTTCTGCAATTGGCCACTAGGTTCTGTGCTGCAGAGATGAGCCATTTGCTCTTACGATTCCTGAAACTCAACCCATGAGGAGGGATTTTTTTCTCTATTCCTCTGATTGCAAATTAGTATCACATTTAGGGCCCGTCATGAGATATACCTGCACTGTAGATTCATTGCTTGCTGAGTGCAGCATGTCAGACATTCCCTGCCTGTTTTCCCTAGCCCAGCTATTGTCCTTCCCAAAGAGTCCTGTGGCTCAGCTCAACAGAGGGGTCACTTTGAAATCACCTCAGGAGGATGCACCCAGCCTGGCAAAGTCCCAAATGGCATTCTCTGAGACTGCCCTTTCAGCAGCCCTGGGAATAATTAATCAAGTGACTGATACAAAGCAGCCCTTTTCTTATTCTGTGCCCCTGGATCCATGAAGTAGCTGTCATCAGTTCTGCTAACAACAGTGTACCAGGCTAGATTTGCCTTAATGGACTATTAACTAAGAGAC